GCTATTTAAAGCGCCCTTCTTTCTCCGCGCTGTGATGACGTCACATGTGCGCTTTCGTCGAGCGCGATTTTGTCCTCCGCGCTTTTGACGGGTCATGGTAGTTTAGATATGGTATTAGACTTGCATCAGAGAGACCAGGTTTTGTTTTTTTACCATAGTTGGTTGACTCCAAACCAATCATTTCCTCTCACTCAATCTACTTTACAAGATTGTGATTATGGAGATAAAATTAGGAAATGTACCCCTATGTATCCCATCTTGAGCCCCCTGACAAAATATTATTAATGCAATCAATAAAATATATTACCATCCTCCAACAGTGCTAACTGGAACATTGATTGTTCTTAGATCTGGTGCATGGGGCAACCCTACCAACAGCAAAGGCCTACAGCGCCTCTGCCAGTGAAAATGGAGATCCTACACACCATTTCAGCTGGCAGAGGGTTGCAGGAGGCCTTTGCAGCTGAAAACAGAGCTCGGGAAGGCTGTGTTCGCTGGCAGAGGGTTGTGGGAAGCTGTCGCAGATGAAAATGGAGCTCGGGAGCTCGTTTTTGCTGGCAGAGTGCTCGGGCCACCACAGGGCCCCCTGACACGAGTGTTATTGAGCTGGACATGCCACCAGCCATGTCCCCCCTCAAGGTCAAATGCAACCCTGATGCGGCCCTCAATGAAATCGAGTTTGACACCTCTGAACAACACAATTCTCATTTTCCAATCACACACTTAGATAATAGGAAAACTATGGTAAATTACAGTAGAAGGCTCAGCCAAACATAGGACCAAGGAGGTTTGTGTGTGTGTGTGTGGAAGGTTAGGTAGAATTACTTGAATTTAACAATCATATGTGTAAGGATTTGATGATATTATTCTCTATATGTCCTGCCTCTCTCTTTTCTTTTCGAAGATTGAGCTGTAGTTATTCAGTGATAAGAAATAACTACTAAGCCAGTGTTTCTCAACCGTGGCAACTTGAAGATGTCCGGACTTCAACTCCCAGAATTCCCCAGCCAGGGGAGAGAGGAAGGGGAAGTTGAGAGGGGAAGGATGATAGAGGGAAGAAAGGAGGTAGGTGTAGAGTACCTACAGGTAGGGAGGGGGAGGAGAGAGAGGGAGAAGAAAGTGATGGATGAAGTACAAATATGGTGTATGGAGAGCAGAAGAGCCAATAATTGTTTTTGGGAGTTGATAGTAAGATGAATTGATGTAAACATTTAATAATACAGTACGATATTGGCTATGTAATAGTATACATGTGGATTATATGTTATGAAAATGAAAAAATAAAAAACATATATATAATATATATATATTA